AAAAAAGGTTTGAAAACAGTGTATAATCAATAATAGAAAAGCAAGCTGAAGCAGAATAGCAATCGAGTTGAGATGTCTTTTAAAAACCTTAAAAAAAGGGAGAAAAGATCAAAAAACAATATTTGAAACCTGTATATAATCAATAACAGGAGATCAAAACCAAGAAAAATAAAAATATAATGAGGTGGATTTTTAAAAGTAATAATAAAATATTTTAAAAGAAAAATTTTAAAGGGATTAAAACTGGAGACATATACAATTGCTTAAAAAGTAAAAATTTAAAAGGTAATAGAAAATAGAACAGATTTTTTAAAAGATAAAACGAGAGAATTTTAAAAGAAGGGAGAAAAAAAGGTTTGAAAACAGTGTATAATCAATAATAGAAAAGCAAGCTGAAGCAGAATAGCAATCGAGTTGAGATGTCTTTTTAAAACCTTGAAAAAAGGAGAGAAAAATCAAAAATCAATATTTGAAACCTGTGTATAATCAATAACAGGAGATCAAAACCAAGAGAAATAAAAATGAAATAAAAGAATAATAAAAAGATTTTAAAAGAAAAGTTTTAAAGAGATTAAAACTGTAGACATACACAATTGTTTAAAAAATAAAGATTAAAAATGTAGTTAAAAAATAGAACAGACAAAAAAGGATTTTAAAAAAAAGGAAAGTGTTCTCCTGGAGACTGTGCGCTCTTAATGATTTTATCGAGAAGTCTTTCTGTCTTCGCTCTGTTTTGCAAACTCAGCTTGCTGTTTCCAGAGGCCCTCCGTTGGCGCCCTCGTCTGTGCTGCTCCCAGTGCCTGTAGACAAGCAGATCGCACCCCCTCCCAACGCTGGGTCAGGTGGTGTGCTCCATCACGGTGGGCGGGCGGGTCACTACCCATCCTGATGCTGCAGTCAGATGCTGCGCTTGGGTGAGGTAGCGGGTGGATCACGCCCCCTCCACCGTGGTCAGGTGCTGCGTTCTGCCAGGAACGCCAGCCTCCCTCTCCCTGCGCCAGTTGCTCCACTGCTCTGTGCAGCTGCCCACTCTGCCTCCAGTCGGCGCTCCACAGGTGGGCTCAGGGAAGACCACAGAACGGACCCGCCCCTGCCCCATGCCAAAACCCCAGGTCCTTGTTTGTCTTGGCGGCGCAAGTTCTCTGAGGTACCAGGGCAAAAAGATCCTGTCTACCTCGGGCTATAAACAAGACTCAGCTCTGCCTAGGAGGTTGCAGAGCCCCCTGGTGCGGATTCAGGTCTTGGCCCTGCCCCCGCCCTGGCACTGCACACAGGAGGAGATGGTGGCTGTGGCTGCGCCCCGCCTCTATTCTCCCGAGAAGAGCCAGTAATGGCGCGGTGGGTCTGAGGAGACAAAGGCTACGGTGCCTCTCCTCCCAGGGCACACCAGCAGTGTTGCTTTTTTTTTTCCCCGTAATTTATGGGGGGCCCAGGTTGTTCTGCTCTGAATCCCCTCCTAGCCACAGCGTGCAGCATCCTGCGGTCCCCCAGGGCTGCCTCAGTGCAGATGCCCCACTCCTCCGCCCAGTCAGGCAGCCTGTCCCGTCCCCCA